GAGGTGCCAGCCCCTCTTATGGGCAGCAACCCCTCAGCAGGGCCCTCCCTCATTCAGGTGCAGTGCTAGGGCAGCAGCAGGAAACAGCCAGCAGAGAATGGCTCTGCTGCTGTCTTTCTGGGCTCTACAAGAAGGGAGCTGCCTTTTCCAGCTGTCTGCAGCTACTGGTGGTTGGGTTTTTCCTTGCAAGGATTACAAAACTAGGAACTTTTGGGCTTTTCTTCTCCTTGAATCTCCAGGGCTTTTCTTCTCCTTGAATCTCCAAAGCCTGCATTGGTCCCCGCGTTGTGCAAATGCTGAAAGCTAGCCCTTCCCCTACTTTGCATCTGGTTGCTATCAGCCTTGTGATTCAGTGAATAACGGATTCCCACAGCATCTTTTTTCCAAGGGATATTTTTCCTCCCTCTTTTTACTGTCAAAAATAAACACCACTCCATGCACAGAGTGCCTGGGTCACAGACTGGGTCCGTGCAGTGCTGTGCTGCCTGGACACACAAGGGCTTCCAGCAGTTCTTCATGCACAGGGAGCTTGCCCTCTTGCTGTGGCTGCTGTTTTGCTGTCAGCCACAAGCAGACCCTGCAGAGTCCTGGCATGGAACGTCAGGTTGCTGATGTCCCTTGTGAGCGCTGCCGACCCGCTGCTCTGTGATGCTGCTGGAAGTGCTTGGGATTTCTACAGCCCCTTTGTGTTTGGTTGTCTAAGAAAGACTTGGAACCCGAAGGATTCTGTGATTGCTGGTAAATTTCAGTTACTCCTTCCAGGTCACAGGGTGCATGTCTTTTGTAACACAGGCTTTCACTGTGTGGTTGTCAGCATCTCCTGCAGATGTGGTTCTGCTCAGATCCAGCAGGTCCAAGTGCTAAGCCAAGGTTCAGAGATCTGGAGGGGATTTTGTAAGTGCTTTGGGAAGCTGCTATTAACATCAGGAACACCATCTTTTTTCTGCTTCCTTTTAAGTTCTTTGATATCAACTGGCAAAGGCCTTTCTCAGTGCCTTGTGGCAGAGTGCATTGGCAGGCTGCTCTACAGGCACGTCTGCTCTGTTGAAGTCACTCCTGTATTCGATGGTTGCAGAGATTTGGGCTGAGATTGGCTGTTTTTGTGGTAGCTGGTGTTATGCACATTAGCAAATATTCCACCTGACGTTTTTTCCATTGCTTGCATTCCTCTAGTTCCTATTCAGAGGAGATGGAGGGCAGGTTACCTCCTGCTGCTCACAGGTAGTTTGCTCAGCCATGCTGCAGGGTTTGGGGTATGAGCAGGAAGTGGAAAATCCCTGTGTTCCAACCCGTGCTCCCTTCCTTGCTTTGGATTTATCCATGATCTGTTGAAGTGGGATCTTTCATTCCTCTAGGTGGGTTTTGGAGCAAGGGAATATGCATTTTACTGGGGAGGTGCCCTGAATGCTCCTGCTGCAGGCAGTTTGGAGCTGTTGCAGCTGCATTGCAGCTGGGAGGCAGCTCCTCAATCTGCACAGTGCAGCAGCACGGTCCTGCTTCATTCCTGCTGTTCTTGGACATCAGCTTAGCATTTCCTAAGGGATCTGGCATTTGCAGGCAGCCAGGACAGAGCTTCATAATGTTTGGAAAACATTATTCATATCTGTGTTTTTGAGATAGTCTTGAGCTTGGTTTGGGGTTTTTTGTTTATTGCTTTGGGTTGGGTTTTTGTTTGTTTTTCTTCTTTTTTTTTAGCCTGTAGCTTTTCTCAAGAGTTTAGCTCCAAGGGCAATGATCTCTGTGGATGCTGTCCCATGCAGGACACAGTGTGCTGTGCCATGCAGCAGAGCAGTTGGGCAGGGGCTGGGGACGGCTCCAGCATCATGATTGCAGTGTTTAAAGTGTGAGCATAGGATACATGCAAAGCAGGGGTTTGTGGGCTTGTGACTGAAGGAGCTCTGAAGGGTCCCAGCTGCACTGCTTGGTCACGTCACACCTTGAGCCTCAGTTTCCCCATCTATAAAAGAGGTGATCACACACTGTTATGAAGTGCTTGGAGATTTGGGATGTGTCACCTTTGGATAAAAGAAGATCCTTTGCTGGGAGGAGCCAAGTCACCTTGCTTCCTGATGAGCCTGCAGCAGGAGCAGCTGCATGGAGAGCAGCCCCAACTTGGCTGCAGGCAGATGTTCCTGCAAGGAGTGGGACCAGGACCACTGCCCTGCCCAACTGCAGCCGATGGTGCTTGCAGGAGGAGAGCCAAGCATCAGCAAAAAATGGATTTGGGCTGTGTTTTAGTCAACTGTGTCTGGCCAGTCAGTTCTCACTACTGCTGTTTGTCTGGTCTGCCTGCTTAGCCCTTGGACTCTGGCTGGCAGGGAGAACACTAAGATTTAACTGTACCTTGGATAAAAAGGGATCCTTAATCGGGATTTTTCCTGAGCAGCTTATTCCTGGAGCACTGCGGGCTGGGACAGGCTGTGAGTGCCAGCAGTGACTTCCAGCTACAAGGATGAAGGGGCAGCCAAGGAGGAGAGCTCCCTGCTGTGCTGAGCCCACAGTGGGAACTTCTGTCCCGGGCAACATGGCAGCATGGAGCTGCAGCTCCTTCCTGGGGGAGCAGCTTCAGCACCTCCTCTCTAAAGTTCTTTCAGAACCCTCAAGCCAGCGTCAGGTTTCAGCAGAAGTCAAAGAAGGCAAACTCCATGTGCTTCCACAGATTATTATTGTGCAATACTCTGACTTTGCAAACTTGAACCCGGTAAACAGCTGAAGAAGAGCAGTGAGCCCTTCTGCTGCCTTCTGAGGGAGGGGATTTCTCTCTCTGGGTGATGATATATGGGCTGTTTCTGAACAGGAACTGAGTGAGATCCAGATTCACAGGTGTGTTAATTGAAGTAAGGTTTCTTTCTTAGAGGGATAAAGGCTTTCGTGGTGCAACTTTACATCCTTTTGCCCTCTGTGCATGCGCAGCTCCTTTGGACTCTATAGGCTCAGGCTTTGTCCAAGGCTTTAGCTCAGACCCCTCTGCCTGTTTGGGGTGTGGTGTGCTCTGTGCTGGGACTGTCAGATACAGCTGGCACATGCATCTCTATGGGTCTCATTTGGAACAGAGTGATAGTGGGACAGTGGGATGCTGTCTTTCTTTGGCTGCTGAGGAGTCTCATCTGCAATTGAAGTGATTGTACACTTGTAAAATGATGATGAGTGTACCAGTATGTGGGAGATTAAGGAGTCATTTAAAAAAATGCTGGATTTTTTGAAAATGCTGAATGCTTCTCCCAGCAGTGGTTTGAAGGGGCTTGACTTTGACCTTGCCACTTGCTTCTGAAAATCCTGGCTTATGTGAGTTTAGGTAAATACTTGGACTTAATAGTAGAGGAAAGTGTTCCCTGAGCCTGGAAGATGTACAATGAACCTAACTCTCTTTCTGTCTTTTTTCTTCCACAGAGCAAACTTCCCATGACTAACAAGTGCTGGTCTAGATTATGAGCTCAAACAAGAACGCTCGCTTCAATCGTTTCTCCAGTGGCACACCAAACATCAGTACTTCAGAAAACACTAACGGGGTAAGTGTGGGTGCCCTGAGCACTGGGCAGGGGCTGGGGCTGCTTCTTACATTCTTATCCTTTCCTTTGAGAAAATGATGACAATGATGGAAAATTTGATACTCTTTCCCCTGAAAAATCACAGTATCCACAAATGAAACTTAAGAATGCATACAGGCTATATTCATATATAGTTACCAGTTCAGGAGAAGTAACGAGCCTTCAGTCTGTGCTGCACTGATACAAACTGACATTCATTCTGTCTATATTTCAGACAAGAATGGAAACAACTTTTGGGCCGGCGTACTCTGCTGTGACCACTATCACAAAGGGTGAGTACATTTCATGTGTGGGGCTTCTTCCCAGAGCACTGGATGAGAATCTTATCAGGCTTCTTCTCGTCGTTGTTTCTCATCGTTGTTGGTGCAGTCACTGTGTGTTCATTGCAGACAGGTGCCAGAGTACTGTTGTTAATACTGCACAGCTCAAGTGTTACTTAATCACGACATCTGCTCACCAGGCATGATGGAATGAGCATGAGCAGAACAACTGGGAAGATCTTGCTGAAATTAGGATAGTATAACAGGATCTGATACAAAGCTTAGTTTCAAATCTTATTTGTCCATGTGACTTCTCATGCAATCGTTACCAGGGCTGAAAATTCTGGTCTTCACTCTTTGCCTGTGTGTCACTCTGTACACTTTGGTAAAACCTCCATGGTCATTTTTAGCTCAGACAGGAGGGGGCGTGAATGTACCTGCTCATTTAAAATTCTTCTGCTTTGTTCTTCAAAGCCCAGCAGGTGAGGAGTCTGAGCTCTGGCACGCAGTGTGAATGTGGGAAGAGATTTGGTTTCACTTTGGAATAAAAATATCCTTACTTTAGTAAAGACAAGAAACTGGCACTTGACACTGATTTAGATAAGGAAATTAATGACCTTCCAGGAGGAAATGTTTGGATTACATATGTAAACTCTAGATCATTTTGGACTCCTGAGTATTTACATTTAAAATTTTGTGTCAGTCAGTAATACTATCCTTATGCAAACCTCTGACTTAGTATAGCATGTTTCTGTTGTGCTACTAGAAGTATCCAAACCTCCCTAGATCTAAGTGATCTGACTGATCACTTATGGGAGTGGAAGGTTTCCTTTTATTAGCATTTTTAACCTATGGGCCTGGGAGGAAATTATCTATGCTTTTTGTTGGGCTAGCTACCTTCAAAGGATTGTGTGCACTTCAGCAAGTTGTCAGAGATCAGGATTATTGTGTACTGATGTGTTCAGGTCAGGAACTGGCGTAGGGGAGTCCCTACTCTTCTTTCTTCCAAGGAGCACTTACAGCTACAGAAAACCTGTAGCTTAGAAATGTTACTAAGGAGCTTTTTTTTTTTTCTTCTCATTTGCCTTAAAGCTGATGGAACCAATACTTTTAAGCAGCATCGTCGGACTCCATCTTCCTCCAGTACACTCACCTACTCCCCACGAGATGAGGACGATGGCATGGTAGGTGTTGCCAAGAGGCCCCTCATGACTGGCTTAGCTGGTTGTATCTCAAATGACATCTGGTGTTCCTCTGTCTCCCTCTGCATTCCCATGCACTGTTACATCAGCTATAGATGGCTAAAGTGGAGGCAGGAGCAGACTCAGCATTTCCTGGCTGCTCCCATGGTTAGGCAGTGGGGCAGCAGAGGCTGTTTCTGACCTGGGCCATTGGGCTGGTTGCTGGGCCTCATTTTCAGACTGTTTGAAAGCAGTATGTTGTCACTGCTTTCAGAGTTTGAGAGCTACAAATCCCACAGACCTACTGGTAAGGGTGTACCTGCCTTCTGTTGTAAGCAGAATGCCCTGACCTTCCTGGGCTGTTGGCACTGATAGCTGTGGCTGTGTCAACTTCCATCAGCAGCACAGCTGATCCTGCAGCTATGACTAGAAAATACATTCCTTCTTCCACCTCCAGGTGGGGCTTCTGACCACAGGGAGCAAGACTGAAACCTGCAGTGGGATGTCCAGCCCTGCAGACAGCTCAGCTCCTGGGGATTACATCAGCAGGGTCTTCTCAGAAAAAATGTGCCCATGTCCCACAGTGTCTTTGCAGGGAAGCACTGCCTGGTTTTGTATCCTCACTCAACTTACACACTACTTTTTTGGCAATTTAGTGACCCAACAGCCATCAGGATTAGTTGCGTAAAGAGAAATGAAATTGAATAAATCGATTAAATCAAGATTGGCAACAGCAAAGCAAACCTCAGCAACAAAAACAGCACTTGATCAAGTGCCTGGTGCCCCAGCCCCAGCTCACAGCCACAGGCTCCTGCTTAGATTTAGGCATGTGAGTAGGAACCTCTCCATTTGAAGTGAGTGCATGTAGACTTTGCCAGGTCAGGAGACCCAGCTTCAGAGCCTGGGAAAGGTGGATCACTGCTGCTGATTCATTTAGGCTCTGGGGTAACAGCAACAGTGTGGAGCAGCAGCACTTCTTAAAATAAATTTGACACCAGATTGCAAAGAGCTTTATTGTCAGCATCCTATAAAGTTCCTTCTGTTGCTCAGAGATCTTGCTGTGTTTTATGTGAGCATGTGTTTGTTTTTCAAAAAGTCCTTTGAACATTTGGCTCATATCCTTGACAGACACAGCTCTCCATCACATCACTGACCCCAGGGTGCTGAACCAGTGCTTCAGACAACCACTGACTGGTTCAGCACTGATCCAGTGGGCCAAGTGCTGTGCTCACTGCTCTCTGTTCATGGCTTGTGCAGTTCTTATGGAGTAGAGATGAGGTTTTGCCAGAGGAGCAGGGATGCTGGGGACACTACATTTAGTCCTGTTTGATGGAAAAGCTCCCTGGCTCCCTTGGAAACCTGTGTTACACAATGAGGTGTGCAGCCAGTAGGGGAGGTCTCTCCTAGGACCTATTCTCAGTTGTCTTTCTTGGACAGCATCAGTCCACCTTCCTGGAGTGCTAAGTGTTGTTAAGCAAAAATAGCAAAAGGAGTAATGAGTGGTTCAGGAAGCAGCCTGCAGCATGAGGTGCTAATAAACCATGAGCTGCTCTGCTCTGCCTACTGCTCCAGACAAACTTTAGTTAACCCCTTTATGAAGCTTTCTTTGCTTTGTTAAGAAATAATCTGGGATTTCCTTTCCTGATCACTCAGTTTTACCCTTCTCCAGGGCTTGTCAGCCATCACAGAGACAGCTGGAGAGAAGTCAGAGCCCTCCTGTGACCTCTCTCCCTCTTCTTTCTTTTTAAAGTTTCTCTTAATGAAACCTAAAGCAGAGCGGCGAGGCAGGGATTAGTGAGCATCTGCTGTCATCCTCCCTGAAAACAGTGCCACGTGTTCCCAGCCTCGGGGAGCAGGAGCGAGGGCAGCATTGGAGTGCTCATGGAGAGGGTGGGAGATGACCTGTTCTCTGAATAGGTTCTCTGAACTCTGCCCTAAAGATTACAGCTGAATATCAGGGCAAGTGTGAACGGCTGGATAATCGGCTTGCTGTGGCTGTCCAAGCTTTCAGCAGTTCACAGGGAGCTTTGCCTGTGGCCGAGTTACCAGCCAGCCACAGGCTATTCAATCAAAAGATGTGTGAGCACTCCATCCTTTGGGTTGTTTGAAGGTGGTGTCTTACACCTAGCCAGGCCATGTCTTACATCTAGCCTGCTGGAAATGCTCTTGGCTGCAGCCTGATGATGCACACGGGTTGTGCTGCTGCTAAAACTGCCTCTGCAGAGCCTGCCTTTGCTGCCCTCATCTCTGTCTCACTTCCAGAATAGGAGCTATGCACAGTCATTCTTCTTGTTTTAATACCTTGTGTTACTAGTGGTAACTTGTGTTACTAGTGGAGGAAAATAATGAATGGATATGCATAAAATTGATTTACTTCATAACTATTCTTCCTCAAGGTATTTAGCCAATAAACATACCTTTTATAGAAAGAGCTTTATACTTTGGCTTCTAAGCAGATGCAGCATTGCTGAGTTCCTGGGATCCCAGGATCATAAAAATTACAGAGTGGAGCAGTGTGAAGAACCAGCAGGATCCTGTGCTGCTCCTCTCCTGCAGCCCAGTGAGGACTGTGCTCCTCCTGCAGTGCACTCTCTCTGAAGCTCATTTTGCATCTTTTATTGCTGAATTTCCTGACTGCCCCCCCAGCCTCTTTCATTAGTTTCACCTGCTCTTGGGTGCGATGTTCCACGTTTTCACCCAGGGCAGACTGAACACGAGCAAGGCACTTTCTGTGTGCAGGGTAGCAGAGAGAGCAGCCTGGTGTGGTGTGGTCTGCTTGGAGATCCTCAATTAAGTGGTCCTGCTGCTGTAGGCATGGTACTGCAGGTGCAGACATTTGAGGCACAGGGCATCTTGATGCTCAGTGCACAAAGTTTTTGGCTTCACTCTGCCATTTTTTTGTCAGCCCATTCATTCTGCTCCTTGAAAGCTTGAATTGCTTCTCCCTACACTTTTCTCCATCTGCCAGAAGGATCTGTTCCAGAGTAACCCAGCAGTAGCTGTGTTCCCGGCTGCTCTAGACCCCTAGTCCCGATGGTCTGAAGTCTCCATTTTGGCTCTGACATTGAGTTGCATCTTGGCTATGCGCTGCTAGTTGCTATTGCACCCTTTGGGATGCGTTGCTGGTTAATATTCCAGTGGCAGCATTCCCTTAAAGCCAACCCCAAGGCGGCCGTAACCAGTGGGATTTTTCTTGATTGGTGCACGCAGTGTCCACTGAGCTCTCCCCTCCCAAGCAGGAAGCGACAAAGTCAGCCTGTTGCTGAATTGAATAGAAGGAAGTCTGCACACTTACGCAAAAAAAATTGGCAGAAGTTGGATCGCGAACGAAACAACAAGTGCTGCTGCAGAGATTAGAGAAATTGCAGGAGCTGGTCGCTGTCTCTGGGGGAGATTTACACAGCTTTCTGCGCAGGATTAATTCTTCCAAGCCATTACTTTGCGGGTGGGCGCAGTAAGTATCCAAACAAATGCACCTTTGAGAAAGTGACGTGCTTGGAATCTGGATGTCGGCTTAGTTGAGCGAGTTGGAGCTGGATGGTGGCTGTCCTGTCCCTGCGCGGCGTGGTGTCCCCAGCAGGGAGGCACGCAGAGACCATTCAGTGCAGCTTGGCGAAGTGGATGAACAAATGGAGCAGCTGAGTTTGGTGGAGGGGGGGGCTGAATTGAACTCTCTGTGCATAGGGTTTTGGAGCAGGGGGAGTTATTTGCAATAACAAGAATTGGTTTTTATCTCTTTGAAGCCTCCGATCAGCACCCCACGCCGCTCTGACTCCGCTATCTCCGTCCGTTCATTGCACTCTGAGTCCAACATGTCCTTGCGCTCAACGTTCTCACTCCATGAGGAAGAGGAGGAGCCAGTAGGTATTTGGGATTGTCGGAAGGAGCAGTATTAGGAAGTTCAGTGTCAAAAGAGTAACTTAGCGGACTCCCGTGAGTACATACCGCTAGCACGGGGAGCTTTTCATGTTGTCTGGCAACTAAGGTTCAGGACTCGTGGTTATGATTTTGTTTTCCCTACTGACTTCTGCAAGTTACTTTGCTTCCTTGTGTACCATTTCCCCATATGTAAAGAGGGGATGATGGTGAGTCTTTTCTGCTTCTCTGAAAAACTGTAATGCTTTGCAAAGTGGTGCGTGATTCCCTGGCTCTGCTATAGAGCAGTAGGGAGCTGTAAATCTTGAAGCTGGTGATTGAGCCCCAGGCAAGCTAACACAATTCTTCCCTGATTCAGAGCCCCATCCTGCCTTTAGGGCTGTGTGGCACCCCACTGACTTCATTGTAAGCCCCAGGGGGGAACAAGGAATTGCCCTCATGTTCCTCCCTATAGGGGAAGGCACTTCTGATCAGTGCTTAGCTTGTGACCCAGTGCCTAAGCCCACAATGGATGCATGAAAGGTCAAGTGGCATTTTGCCACAGATCCAGGATAAAAGTGTATGTTTTGTATTTAGGAACCCAGGGGGTCATGTTTGCAGTTGTGAGAGCAGTGTGGGATGAAAAGGCAGAGTAAGCTGCAGTGATTGGTTCAAAATGCTGCAGTGATTGGTTCAAAATGCTTTGAGACCCATCTGATCTGAGCTGTGCCAATCAGATAGAATGTGCCCAGTGCCCTTGCTCCAGCAGTCTCTGGTGGTAACAAATCTGAAGAGCTGGGCCCATTTGGGCAGGGCACTGCTATTTCTGTATCATAAGGGAATGAAAGAACACTTCCTTCAGGGTGTTTCAAAATACAAAAGGGCAAGCTGTTTTAAAATGGCTTTTAAACTTCAGGCTTAGTACCCAGAATGTTTTTGACGCCACACTGTTGAGTCCAACCATGCAGAGAGTACCAGGCAGTGCAGTGCGTGCAGTTCTGGTGACTTGAATTTTTCACACAAAGATGGTCTCTGCAGTTTGCTGTCAGTGTTCCAGTCCAGCCAGATGCAAGTGACTCCCAGTCTGTGATGATCTGAGGGTCTCCAGACATTCCCAGTGTCATTCCTCCACTGCCTCCTGCATGCTGGAAATAAACAGATCCAAGTAAATATTTATTTAGAGATAATGACATCCTTAGTGTGTCCTGGGCCCCTGGCTCATCCCTGAAGAGTTGCTTTGCCGAGCCTTTTGCAGAGTTGAAAGCTCCTGGGTTTGCTTTAATTCTGCTTTTTGTCCTTTTCTCTCTCTTCTTTAGGAGCCACTGGTGTTTGCTGAACAGCCGTCCGTGAAGCTGTGCTGCCAACTGTGCTGTAGTGTGTTTAAGGATCCGGTCATCACAACCTGTGGGGTAAGGCAGTATTCTTCCAGATCACGAGCTTGGCTTCCACAGATGTCTTAGGTGACCCACAGCCAAGCCATGACTGTCCCAGTGACTGTCAGTGGCTGCAGAGATGCTGCTGAGCATGTGGCAGGTTTCCTAAAGGCAGCTCTGAACCTGTTTGCATGGGGCATGCAGGGCACTGCAGTTAGCCAGAGAAGCCCAAGGCTTGTTCACAACTGGTCTGCTTTTCCCTGAAGAAATATACTGTCAGCTTGCCAATCCTGGCCACATTCGGTCTCCCTGGATTGGCTTCAGTGATGTCAAAGCTCCTATTCCCTGTATGAAGGGCTCTGCAGGGTGTTGCTGCCTCTGGGCACCCTGGAAACAGTTGCTTTTCAGTTGTTAAAAAAGTGTTTTCTATAAGACAGGAATGGCTTGAAGCTTCATTTAGTTAATGCTTGCAGAGGGATTTGGCATCCTCTAATGAAAGGCACAGAGTATTATGAATATTCTTCTATATTCCATTTTATTGAGATTTTAATAGAAGCTGTATATTATTACTGCTTCTGTGCTATGTTTGAAGAAAGATGGCTTTGTGACGGGCTCACTAATGCTTCTGATGTGCTTCAGATTGCTAGGATGGAGCTGTAACAACAAGTGCAAAGTGGGATTATTTATTGTAGGGGATGCTGTCCCTGGAGGTTCTGGAAGCTGGTTCAGTTTTGCTGCATCATTTCAATAAGCAGCTCTTTGTGGAGACACAGAGATTTACTGGTTAATATTGGAAAAAATAATCTCCTGCAGGAAGCAGAGTGGCTTCATTTGCAGTTCTGGTTTTGCAGCTCTGGAGAGAGCAGCATGCAGCTGTGCAGGGCAGGAAAAGGCCATGTGAGCAGGGCTGCAGATAACGCTCTGAAGAGTGCCTTGCAGTACCTCCAGTGCTGCTGCCAAGCCCTGGCCCTGGGGCAGGGAAATGTGGCTGAGGAGTCCCCAGGGAGCCCACCAGGGTGAGTTCAGGCCCCATGAAATGCTGCAGACATCGTTCCTTTCTTTATGTTCTTTAGCATGTTAGATTGAATTTGCTACTTTATCAGGTTAAATGGCTGCCATACATTTCTGCTGGAAGAGTGGAGAGCGAGCTATATCAAGTGGCAAAATTTACAGTGCATTTAATGGGTTTACAAATTAGCTGTCCCATCCACCTGGCAGCTGGACAGCTTCATTAGAAGAGCTACAGAAGAGTGTGTATGATGGGCTGACTGGCTAAGGGCAGGGAGAGACTGATGCTCTTCTGCTTGGAGACTGCTCAGGAAAGGAGAGGAGTGGCATGGACTAAAATGGAGGGCAAAGTAGATAAATCCCATGTGGTCTTGGAGGGTAAGAATGTCAGTATTGCAGGACATGTCTATATCCTGATCTGAATAGAGCAGAATCCTCAAAGCATCAAACATGTACTTAGTGCTTCTCAGGAACAGGAGCTGTGCTGGAGTCTCAGCTGCCTGTACCAGCTGTGCCCTCTAAACCTGTTTTTGCCCTCTGCTACAGACCCAAGAGCACCCTGAGCTACACAGCAGACAGACCAGCTGCTGAGATCCCTGTGCAACAGGCTTTGGGCTCTCCAACCTTTCCCATCATTAGCCACAGGGTATAATTTATCTGATATGGTTTATGCTGACACTGCTTTTCCTCTTTGTTTCCACAGCACACGTTTTGTAGAAGATGTGCCTTAACATCTGGTGAGTACAGAACTGTTCTTGTGTGATGTAGCCTAAATGCTGTCATTTTCTGGTTTGTTTGCTTTCACTTAAAAGAAACCTGCTCATTTAGAATGATATCTGAAGGGCTTTAAGCAGGCTGTCAGTCCCAGGCTACCACTGCAGCAGTGAGGAACTGGGACTCAGGTGGCTGAGCTGCCCTAAGCTTTGATGGTATGCAGTGTAGCATGGGCACTGGAGGGCTGGGCCCAGCTTTTGGGCACAGGATGTTCTCAAATCCAGGAATAGGCAGTGGATAATCCCAGGATAATGCATGTCTTGCCCAGAGTTGACCCACTGATTTCAGAATGAAAGCTTTCTGTGGCTACCCATCTAGGGAACAAGGGGGCCGTGTTTGGCAAAAAACCACCAAGCCCTCCTCCCCCAGCCCATTAGTGCCAGCTCTCTGTCTGCATATCCCTTCAGTGCCAGCTCCGCCTGCAGAGCAGAGCTGCTGGAGCTCACCCCACTCTCCCAGCAGCCTGCTGGAGCCCCAGCTTCTGGCTGACAGCCTGGCCTGACCACCTCCCTCTTGGTTTGGGCTCTGCACTCCAAAAATTACTTCCCTTGGCATGAGCCTGTGTCCCTCTTGTTTCAGCACAAAGCCATTTGTATTACCAGAACAGCAAGCCCTGAGGAAGCTCCCTGAGGAGCCCAGCAAACAGTAGCTCTTTCTGCCTTAAGATGTTCATCTTCTGCATGTCAGGGAGTCCCTCTGCTTTGCATACCGATTTCTCTGTTACTGTGCTGCCCTGAGTCTATCCCAACCAACGCTTCTGCAAGCAGAGGCTTTGCAATTGTAGCCCTGAATTGTTCCTATCCCCTCAGCTTGTGTCGTTTTAGCTAGCTCTGGGCTGGGGTGGGAGATGGGATTATGTGTGGGCCATCAGCAGATTTGTGGGCACTTTCTGTGCATAATTCTGCAATTCAGCATGCATAAGGTTGTTCCAAGGAGAGTGGCATTCCTTCACTGATGATTATCTTGAATTGCCTTGAGTTAACACAAAATAGAACTTTTCACCAAATTCCAAGGCAAACCAGAGCTGTCAGTTTGCAGACCATGTGTGAGTATTCATGGCTCATGCTGCTGTCACCGATACGGGAGCTGGCCGTCTTGGATAGAGAAGGGTAAAGAATAAAATCTCACACACAGAGACTCTTTGAAGTGCTCCCGCAGCATCTCAGCCCTCACTGACTCTTTTTCTTCCCCACCTGCAGAGAAGTGCCCTGTGGACAACGCCAAGCTGACTGTGGTGGTGAACAACATTGCAGTGGCTGAGCAGATTGGGGAGCTCTTCATTCACTGCAAGTATGGCTGCCGGCCTGCAGCCAGCAGTAAGCCTGCTGCCTTTGAGGTGGACCCCCGCGGATGCCCGTTTACAATTAAACTGAGCGTCAGGAAGTAAGTGGTTTGTCACCAGCACACAACCTCCCCAGGCAGGGCCCCTACCACCAGCAATTGCTGCTGTATCTGAGATACCCTCAGGACAGCACAGCTGCATTCTTCTGGTTGTGCAAAGATATGGGAACAGGCAGAAGGACTTGGGGACAGTTCTTTTCACTATGTCTTAATCTGAGCATGGGGACAGATGGTCAGGTCTTGGGGAAAAGGTGCTGTTCTGTGCTCATGGCCTACCTGGCAATCAGTATCAGGACAGTGTGAAAGCAGCCACCTCACTTCTGGGGTGGAACACCAGTGACTATGGTCAAGAAGGGACTCAGGGATTCTTTTTGTAAAAGGAGTTATCCTGGTTGTATCCTGGGAATGTGCTTTCTGAAATCCATTTCTCTCATTATCCTGTATGTATTCACTTTCCTGCTGTCACCTGGCTGTTGCCTGCTGCTAATAGCTGGCTGATGGCTCAGCTGATCAGCTGCAAAATGAGATGTTCCCTGCATAAATGTGACCTATTGCTCTCAACTTGCTGACCAAATAAGAGTTTAAAGCTGTAATTATGGCATTAGAATGGCAGGCTTTTTTATCACAGGTCTGCTTAGCTCCTTTCCTGATGATCTGTGTGATTTCCGTTAATTTTTTGCTTGTCACTGATTTTCCTTCCTTTTGCTTTTCTCCATGGGCAGAGATCATGAAAGCAGCTGTGATTACAGGCCAGTTCGTTGCCCCAATAACCCCAGCTGCCCACCTCTCCTGAAAATGAACCTGGAGGCACATCTGAAAGAGTGCGAACACATCAAGTGTCCCCATTCCAAGTATGGGTAAGGAGCTGGTGCTTTTTAGTGGGAGGGATGTGCTGAGCTCATTTCTGAGCTGCTTTTTGGCTATTGCAGCCCTGTGGTAGCCCCATGGGCTGTGAACAACTCTACCATTGCAGTGCCTTAGACTGCAATTAGGCTGGCAGAGCTTGCAGAAGGCAGCCCCCAGGCCTCTTGTTGAGAACAGGCAGCTCATGCCACCCAACTGTAAGCTCTGCTGGCAGCTGGGATGAGGAGTGTGAGCAGCAGAATGAGCTGGAGGACAGAGCAAGTACCTTGGCAGTGTCTTGCAAGCCAGCCTTTCTCCCAGGGCATGGGGACTGCTCAGAAGGCTGTTTGCCACATGAGCAGAGGTGCAGCCTGGGCTGGGGGTTCTCTGCAGGCTGCACAGCTAAACTTTCAGTTGTGGGTAATGTTGTGGGCCTGCAGAGAACCCCCAGCCCAGGCTGCACAGCTAAACTTTCTGTTGTAGGTAATGATGTCTTGGCAGAAGCTGAGCAAGGAAGTCCTGACAAAGCAGCCTTTACTCCTTACCATGCTGCAGCCAGCACCACCTGAAGTCAGCAGCAGTTTTTTCCACTGGTTTTGATGGCTTTTAGATTAGGCTCCTGGTGAGCACTAGTAGACACCACATCGTGTCTCTTGCCCAAGATCTGCTGCTCCTTGCAACTACCTAGGTAGACAGACAGGCAAACCAGTTTGGGGCCAGTAACCTGCCCAGAAGAATGGGAGCTACTTGGTCTCTGTAACCCAGCAGGATGGTGAACTGCAGTACCAGTGCTCCTTGTAGGGCACAGACAGCTGGGGGCTCACAAAAGCCTGGAGCCAACTGAGCAAGTAGGTTTCCCAGAGTGTGTCCTGCTCCAAACCGGTGTCTGCCTTCCCTTTGTAGGTGTACATTCATAGGAAATCAAGACACCTATGAGACCCACTTGGAGATGTGCAAGTTTGAGGGTCTGAAGGAGTTTCTGCAGCAGACAGATGATCGATTCCATGAGATGCAGGTGGCAATGGCCCAGAAGGACCAGGAAATTGCCTTCCTGCGCTCCATGCTAGGGAAGCTCTCGGAGAAGATTGACCAGCTGGAGAAGAATCTGGAACTCAAGTTTGGTGAGTCTGCACCAGATGAGCTGTTTGCTCAGAGCTGTAGGGACAGGGCAGCACTGGTAGGATGCTACATTACAGGATTCATTCTGTTTTTAAAACTGGTACTGAGCAGGTTTCAGGAGGGACAAAGAGGGGTCCTATTGATTTCTGTGCTGCCTGTACATCATGGGGCCTCCAGTCACTGCTCATATGGCAAATCCTAGGAATGTCTGCAGGCAAGAACCACCTTTCTTTTGTGGCTTCTTTCTGTGTAGTCCATTGGCACACTTCCCCATAAAAATGAGTAGAATAACCAATAATACTGGAGTGCCATGCCCAGCCCTTGTACAAAAGTTAGATGGCAGTGTGTGTCCTCTGCTCCATTCTCCTGGGTACTGTGTGGGCCTTGGCAGTAACCATGATCTTGTCACTCCCTTGTAGATGTGCTGGATGAGAACCAGAGCAAGCTGAGCGAGGACCTGATGGAGTTCCGCAGGGATGCCTCCATGCTGAATGTGAGGACGGGGCCTTGGGGCTGGGCAGGGTTGCACTCAGTCAGATCCTGCCTCTGCCGTTCCTTGGGCTTCTCCTATGGTGGGGGGAGTCTTTGGGGTTCCCTCCAGCTTGCTGACTCTGCTCACCCCACCTTTGGGTTGTTTTTACAGCAACTGGAGTGTGGGTGAAGATTTCCTCTAGGCTGAATTATAGGCAGCTCAGTGGGTGTATTTAGGTACTGCATCTAGGTTGCTGTTTTAATTGGTTCTCCTGCTTTTCTTAGCCTGTTGCTGCTCTTGGAAGGTGTAACCAGAGTGAAGAACACCTGCTGCACAAAGAGAGCCCTCTGCTCCAAAGCCTGAACGCAGCTGTACTTTTCATACTGGCCAGGGACAACATGTCCTCCTTGTCTTCAGAGAAAGCAGGCAAATAAGCAAATCCCTGCTAACAAGCTGGGAGCAAGAGATGTCTCATGATTTTGGATCTTATTCAGGCACTGATGTTGGACAGACATTCTTCCTTAGCTCAGGCAGACTGCATCCCACTGGCTGTACTGATTAGGAGGAGCTTGCTCTGGTTTACCTAAGCGTACTGATGAACTGAATCCCCATGGGTACAGTAGTAACTGGGCTGTGGAGGAGACTGCAGAGAGATATTCCAGTTTTTCTCTGACAGTGTGGGCTTCAAAAGCCCAGCTGAGCAAGCAGCCCTCATAACTGATTTGATTATAGTTAGCAATCTGGTGAATGGCAGAGCAAGGACAGTATATTCTGAAAGGTGTTGTTGTGCCTGCATGAATACTGAAGAGTTTAGTGCTGGACTGAGGTGCTGTCAGAACCCTGTGGTCCCTGGAGGAAGGTGACAGAGGGATGTAGACATACAGTCCTTGGGCAGGACATCTCCAATTGGAAAATGAGTCGGCTGCTGGGGGACAGCCTGCACAGGGAGTCAAAATCCATCCAAACATGAGAGCTGTTTTAGCAGTGGATGGGGACAGTGCCCAGAAGGGCAGACTGGTCTTGATAGCTCTGCAGCTCATGTAGCTTGTTCTGTTTTTCAGGATGAGCTCTCCCACATTAATGCTCGACTCAACATGGGCATCCTTGGATGTGAGTATACCTGTGTTTTTCATCTGCTTGAGCTGGTTTTGGGTGATGGCAGTGAGCTCTTCCAGCCTGAGTCACAGGCAGGCAGAGTACCGATTTTCTCTGTTTGCAGCAGTGATTTGTGCACAGGACCACCACTGTTGCAGGAGTCTGGTGGGACATGATTGCCAGAAGAGTTGGTTAATGTGTTGGCTAACTCACAGCGCTGCAGGTTTACTGGTTGCTGGGCTCAACTGGGCTCTGCATCTCTGCCCTCCCTAGATCCAACCTGGGAGTTGCATGAGGGAAGAGAAACCTAAGGCTCAAAGCAGTGATAAGGCAATGAGCTGTAAGGGCAGGACATGGGACCCTCCAGCCAGACTGCTGCAGCAGCTTGAAGCTCAAGGAGGGAGGGAGCTCTGTTCCCTCCAGGGTCACTCAGAGTGGTGTGGCACTGTTTTCCCATGCTTACCTGCCTTCTTCTTTCCGTAGCCTATGATCCTCAGCAGATCTTCAAGTGCAAGGGGACCTTTGTGGGGCACCAGGGCCCCGTCTGGTGTCTGTGTGTTTATTCCATAGGAGATTTGCTCTTCAGCGGCTCTTCAGACAAAACCATTAAGGTAAGAGCTTTGCTTCTTCCATTTGTCTTTGCATTTGTAAATGTGCTCCAGGTGAGGCAGAAGCTGAGCTCCAGTTCAGCTGGGAGACTGAGGGGGATATTACTGCCCAGTGTTCCTCCTGAACACCGTTATAGTTAGGCAAAACGTACTTCAGTTTTGCTGTAGGGAAGTGCTAAGTTATAGGGAAATCAAGACAAATCGTGTTTTCTTGTGAAGTCCTGATTAGAATCTCATTCCTGCTTTCTGTGGTTTTGCTTTATATGGTGTCTAAGGCATCTAAGCCCGATTCAGCATCTGATTATATTTTCCCTTGTTATAAAATGTCACCTCAAAAAAAAAAAAAAGCCAGCAAAAAACCCCCACCATTTTTCCCTGATAAAATGAGCCTTTTTTTCATTTTACAGCATGTTTGTTTTTCTTTGCCCTGTTTTCAGTAGCACAGACTGACAGCAGTGCTCCAGCGCAACCTAAGCAGCAGTTTCCAGTGTCACTGTGGTGACTGCTGGCTGAGCTGGGGAGCCACTTGGGGTCAGGTTGTTTCAGGGAGAGCAAAACCACATGGAAGAGAATGGATATTTTTGTGTTTTACTGAAGGAGAACAGCTTTCTCCCCAATGCTGGCTGCTCTGGGCAACTCAGAGCCAGCTAAGCACCACATTCTCACTTTTTCTCTGTCAAGAGAGAGCGTAGTGGGGAAATATTCTGTGGTGGCAGAGACAGAGGAGGCTGTGCAGTGTGGTTTGCCCCCAGGGACAGGGTGTGAATCGCTAGAACAGGAGCTAGAGAGCTGCTTCTGTGGTTCAGCAGTGTTGTTTTGGCCTGGGGCTGTGAAAGGCAGTGCTGGAGAGGGCTGGTGCGTGCTCCTCTTCAGTGTCTCTTGTTAACTTCAACCTGACCCTCTGCAGTAAATTTCCTCTTCTAGACAGGCTTATCTCTGCCTGGAAGACAGGAACACAGGTGCCCAGATGACAGTCTGTTTCCTCCTTTCCGTGCCTTTGTGGCCTGCCAACATCCTGCTCAGGCCCCCAGCTGCTGTGTGTGCAGGCATGTGACCCTCTGCTGCCTTGTGTTTCCTGTTAGGTGTGGGATACCTGTACCACATACAAGTGCCAAAAGACCCTGGAAGGTCACGATGGAATTGTACTGGCTCTCTGTATCCAGGGGTGAGTGTTGAGGGACGCCTGCCCTGCAGAACAGGGAATGAGCACTGAGCCTCCTGAGTGCACCCTTATAGTTCCCATCCCAAGTCCTGCATGTGCCAGGGCTGTGTGTGCATTTGGAGCTGTGGGTGGTGGGGAGAGGAGCCCCATCAATTCCCCAAATCCTGGATCTCACCTTTAGATGGAACCCTTCATAAGTCTCACGTTTTTAAAAACTGACAAACCACCTCCTGCTGCTGTCCTGGCTTCTTCCTTCTCTGCTCACCAGAATGATGCTGGGCTGCTGCTGGAAATGATAATCCAGCACAGCCTCCCACGCAGCCCCAGCCTTGCTCCTGAGGCTGCTGCTGCTCTGGGACTTGTCCCAGTGAAGCTGTAGGGCTGCAGCTCCTGGCCCAGCACACAGCCTGGGAACCAGCCGAGGCCCTGTGCTGGCTGCTGTCCTCGCTGACCTTCTTTTGTTTTGTGGTGACATTACAGGAACAAGCTATACAGTGGCTCTGCTGACTGCACCATTATTGTGAGTACCTGGGACCCCTGCTCTGCTTGGGAGTGGAGATGTGGGATTAACAGGGCAGCAGGGACCTGCATCCTGGTGTCTATAACGTTTTTCAGCTGCTGGTGATAGGATTGGTATCTCGTGTGCTTTATGCCATGCCTTTAACCAAGGTACCCAAGGGTTGGATTTGGGTGTTCCCTGCAGACTGGGCATATGCTGCTCATCGAGCCAGGCTGGTGGCTCACACCGGTGCCTGTGTTTTTGCTTCAGTCCAGAAGGAAAGAGGAAGGGCTTCAGCACCAGAGTCTGCTCCTGCCACTCATAGGCTCTCCTCCTTTCCTTTGCAGGTCTGGGATATCCAAAATCTGCAGAAAGTGAACACGATCCGAGCGCATGACAATCCTGTTTGCACTTTGGTCTCCTCGCACAACATGCTGTTCAGCGGCTCCCTCAAAGCCATCAAGGTAGAGATCTGGGGTAGCTCCTCTTGGTTCACCTGGGGACTGATGCTACAGGCTGTCAGGTAGCAGTTTCCAAATAGAAATCAAGTGACATTTTGGTCTGTATCTTATTATTCTGTTCTCTGGAGCTACACAGAGCAGCCAGTAGTGTGCTCTGTGTATTTTCTGAGACCTGTATTTTCTGAGATTTTCTGAGACCTGACTGAAAAGACCCTTTTGTTCCTTTTAACTCTGTAAACCTGAGGCTTCAGGTGGAGGACGTTGGCAGTTCCCAAATGCTTCCCTGGGCTCTCTACACACCTACTCAGACCTTTGGGAATTGTGCCTTGTGCCCAGAATTGGCTGGGGATTCAACCTGCCTGTTTGAAACCGCCTCCAAAGGATCTTGAGTCAGTGTTCTTTTCCCAAAGCGTGCAAAAATCAGGGAACAGCTTTGCAAGTTGCCCTTTAAAGCCTTGGCTAGATTCCCTTGGTTCTGCTTCCAGCTCCTGGTGAGGCGGCTTATGGGACCGTCCATCTGTAAGAGAGCACATGCTCTTTTCTTTATCTGGGCCTGGAGTGGTTTTGCAGAGCGCTTGGGGCTGGAAGTGACAGCACTAAGCAAAAACAGCACATGGGGCCTTCTGTTTTTGTCATCCCCAGCCACTTTCTGCCACGTGAGCTGAGTGGGTCAGCAGTGCTGTTTGGAGCTCCGTTGGTCCCTGTGTTCAAAGGGCTTCAGCCAGGGTTTTCCAAGAGCTGTGGGAATGGACAGGCTGTGAGGAGAAGTCCAGTGCAGGATTTGGTTTAGGTTTTTTAAGCCTGTAGCTCTGCTAAGGGTCTGTGCCAGCAATAATGCAGGCTCCATTCAAACTTTCCCAGCCCTTGGGAAACATGCTTATTCAGCGTAGTTATTGTATCTGCTGGCCACTGGGTTCAGCTGATTCCCATGGGGCTGGAAAACCAGTACAAGATTCCACTTCATGAGCTTTTAGGGCCCTGTGCTGACTCTCCTGTGTGTGTGTCTGTGCTGTCCTTAGGTCTGGGATATCGTGGGTACCGAGCTCAAACTGAAGAAAGAACTGACAGGTCTCAATCACTGGGTGCGAGCATTGGTGGCTTCTCAAAACTATCTGTACAGCGGATCATACCAAACCATCAAGGTGAGACTAGTGGCAATTGTAAGCCATAGGCTGTCCCTGATACATGTATGTAGTCTGCAGCACGGATTGGTTGAGCAGGACAGAAGGCAATGCTCAGATGTGAGAACACTGCTGCAGCACTGCTGACATGCTAGCTTTTACTGTGCTGATTGCATCTTTGTAGGCACTAATTCAGGGCTCTGGCTGCTCCTTGTGAGTGCATCTGGCCAGGGATGCTCGCTAAGATAAAAGTGGCCATGCAGCCGTGGCGCCTCGCACTGCCTCTGCAGCTGCCGCAGAGGGCTGTTATCTGTGCTGACAGTGCTGCTGATAAGAGGAGAAGGTCACTGTCTGACTCTAGAGTTACCATAAATCTGTACGTGCTTTGCAAAGTGCTCTCATCTGTGTTGGCTCAGGCTTTGATGAATAGTTCACCTCTCGGCATCTGGATGACACAAGAGAATTTGAATTTCCCTCCTTAGTATTAGTAAATCCCCATTAATTTGCCTGCATCGGTTTCTGTGCTCTCAGGAACAGATTTGTGCACATATGTGCAGTCACAAACACAAAGCATGCAATCTCCGCCATTTTTTCAGCCTACACGTTCAAAGCTGGGCAGCTGAATAAGACAGCAGGACTTTGCTCATTGGCACTGAATGTCCCCAGCTGGACAGATCTGTCTGTAACACAGAGCAGGGCTGTGTGGCTGGGGGATGGTTTTAAGAGAGCTCCCTCCTGGAGAGGGGTGCCTCTGTGGGGTCTCATCCTTCACTCTGGTGGCTCTTTCAGATTTGGGACATCCGAAACTTGGAGTGTGTGCATGTGCTGCAGACATCGGGAGGCAGTGTCTACTCCATTGCTGTTACAAACCACCACATCGTGTGTGGCACCTACGAGAACCTCATCCATGTAAGGGCTGCAGCATTCAATATGTTTGTGTTGGGCTGGGAGAGAGGGGCAAGGAGTTGGGAGCCTGGCTCTGCTGGTCCCTTCACAGTGCACCCAGAGCATGGAGACGTGGATGAACATCTTGAAGTAAGTGATGACCCTCTGCTCTCCTTCCACAGGTCTGGGACATAGAGACCAAGGAACAAGTCCGCACACTGACTGGTCACGTGGGTACAGTTTATGCCCTTGCTGTCATCTCCACACCAGATCAAACCAAAGTCTTCAGTGCATCGTATGACCGGTCTCTCAGGGTACGTGTCCAGGGCTGTGCAGCTGGGTCTGTGCTCTTGGCACTGTGGTTGTGACATAGCATTAAAAGGGAGAGGATGGATGGGTAATTCTCTTGTCTCATGCCTTCTGTGTGCCCACAGGTGTGGAGCATGGACAACATGATCTGTACTCAGACACTGCTGCGGCACCAGGGCAGTGTCACTGCCCTTGCAGTCTCCAGGGGCCGCCTCTTCTCTGGCGCTGTGGACAGCACTGTAAAGGTTGGTTTCCTTAGGCTTCTCCATGATGCTTTGGTCTTCTTCTAGTGCTAGAACGAGGATGTTAAATGAAGGAGGAGTTGGCTTTAAATAAACAAGGAGATGGGTTTCAATGGGTGGGAGTTTGAGCTCCTGGCAGAGGTGCTGTGGGGGCTGAAAACCCAAAGAGAAACTCCATGAGATGACGAAGAGAAGCCAGCGGAGCTGCTCAGAACTGTCATGACCATGGGTTGCTGTTGTCTCCTCCAGGTCTGGACGTGCTAGCGAGAGCCGCCCTAGTTCTACACACTGAAAGACCAAAAATGCCTCCCTCCGTCAGCCTGCTGGGTGATGCCTCCGCTCCGAAGAACTGCTGCAGCTCCTCTCTGCACCGAGCACTGCCCGCTGCTGCCTGTCAGCTGCGGTTCTCCCCCTTGCAAGGACCCTGGGGGGCAGCTCTCAGGATAGATCTGGCCCACGGGTGCTCCAGTTGTTCCCTCGGATCTGCCACGTGGGAATGCAGAAGAGCTGCATGGTGCCCTCACCGCAGTGTGCAGGTCATATTGGCCAGCACCGGGACCCAGTGGTTCGGGTGGGTGCAGGTGGGGGCTGGGAGGTGGTCCCATGTAAATGGTAGAGCTGAGCATTAGGCCGTGCCCTGGGTTAGGTCCCTAAGCCCTTTCTCTCTCTAGTATTTAATTTTACTGCCAAGATGTCAGGCTGATCCATGTGGGAAGAGGTGTTTTCTTGAGTAGCCAGGTACGATTTTTACGCCACAGCTAGTTCTCAAATAACACGAGCCCATTGTTCACCACCCTGTAATAATGGTTTCCACATTAAAGAGAAAAAGCCTCTGTTGCATTTTTACTCACATTTTCTACTGTTTTTAAGATTGTAATATAGATTTGATTATTTCTTCATTGACAATAAAAGTGGAAAGAGTTGTTCCTGGCCGGCGTGAGTTATTGCAGACATCCAGCCAGGACTGTGGGCACCGAGGTGGGGAGCAGCCCGCAGCCCCTCGCCCCAGGCTGGCACTGGCTCCCCAACAGGGCAGAGGCACGGGGCAGCTCTGGGCTGCACATCGCATGCACCCAGCTCTGCACAATGAGGACTGGAAGCTCTGCAGCACCGCTGTGCCCCCACCAGCCCCGATGGCATCAGGATCCTCACACCAGGGGACACCTTTTGGGTCACAAACAGGGGTGGCAGCCCGGCAGGGTTTTATTTTTATTTTTTTTTTTATTTTTCTTTAAATATTTGTTGCCAGACTTTGTATAGGAGCAAACTTCTTCACAGCACCACGAGCCATCTACTATTCAGAATAGGAAGAATAAGACGAGTAGAGGTGAAATCTAAGCACAGAAGAGCAGGGAAAGCACCAAGATGCATAGCTTGACAGATGGGATACGATACAGAGTCCATAACTTAATCATAAAAAATATATATATGTATATATCCATCATGTAGAACTTTATGGATTTTTTTTTT